ACTGGTTGGAAAAGGCTGGGGAGGGGAACAAGGTTTTCTTAATATATATGCATTAAAACCTCTGTTTTCAAAGGTAATTTTTTCGCCCATTCTTTTGCTAGAGCTGCAGCCGTGCCTTCCCCTGTGTGTGTCCTTTGCTGCTCAGCAGGCGCTGGCTGGACTTCAGTGCTGCCGCACCTGCACCCAAGGGGGGGAGCCCCGAGGGGCCCCCACTCTGTGGGGTGAGCGGAGGGGGACAGCATGCAGTGGAGAAAGCAGCTCTGACCTGCTGGAGAGGATGGGGTGAGACAAAGCAGCAGCTCCCCGTGCTCAGCAGCATCCTCCTGCTTGCCCCAAGTGGCGTCTAAACACATTTTCTGGGTTGCTCCCTGCAAGCAAACCAGACCTGTAAAGCACTAATAGCACCAGCACCGCCAGCCTCAAGGCATGAGCTTGACCAACCCCTCCAACACGTATTTCTAGCCCTGCTTGAATGGGGAGTGCGGACGATGCCTTGAGCCTGGTGTAGCACAGGACAGGCTTTTGGCACCCTCCTGGGTGGTGGGTCTCCTCTGGGTCACCCTTTTCTGCCTGGCTGGCTCCTTTGACATTAGGCAGATTGCCAAAAGCCCTTTTGTTTAAATAATGCTCCTTGAGAGTAACTGCTGGCTCTGGCAGGCAGGAGCAAAGCAAACCGATAGCCGCAGTATATTTTTGAGGGCAAAGGGGATCATGGACAGTGATTGTTCTTAACTGCTTAACACTTTGAAAATTGTTTCTGTGGCTGTTGCAATGAGTTGGTCAAGCGAAATTGGGATTTTCTCGCTGTCTCTATTACATGCACAAAGGACCATCAGTACACTGCGTTTTGTGAGCGGTCTTCCATTCTCCTTCCATTACCAGGAGTGCAGTAACCGCAGGGGACGTGCACTTCCTCAGGCAATGCCAGGGTGTCTCCTCCCTTGGCTTGCTTGCAGTCCCATCTGACAGGCCTGGTCACCGCTGTTTTCCAGGATGCTCCCAAATGCTATGTTTACTTACGCCCTCGCTGTCATTAGGAGTGACATGTAGAGTGCTCCACAAGAGGAATGTAAAAACAACTCTTCGATTTTGCAAATGGAGGCCTGAAGGCAGATGGCAGAGGAGATGCTGATGTCTTGGCTGGGAGGTGGAGGAATATGTTGCTATTGAATATTGCCGAGTACTTGCACGCCCACACGAACATGCAGGTACACGTGCACAGGAGAGGCGCCTGGACCTCCCTTGTAGCTCTGCTGCCATATTGCATCACGCCGAATCTGCTCCCCATTTTGGGTTATCCCCAGTGCAGGTCACTGAGATGCTGGCTGTTTCACGAATGCTTTCGCACACCCGTGACACCTTCGTGCTTCTGGAGGGTGATTAGAAAGCAAAGCTGGGTCATCCCATTGCTGGAGCAAGGTGATGCAGTCTCGTGCTAACCAAAGTTTACCTCCCATATGTGCAAACATTTCTAGAAAGTAGATGGCCAATGCAGTTTCAGCCGTACTCGGACATTTCACTGCTTCAGAGGAATTGCTGCTTTTCCACACTGAATTATTAGGACAGTGACATTTTGCTTGGAAAATAATTGCAAGTGTATTACCCACGATCTTTCTGAAAAACACACCAAAGATCTCTGGGTGATGGATTTGTTTTCTGTTTGTTTCTCTGGGATTTCTTCACTGGAATTTAGTGTTAACTGGTTATTTATAAATCCAAGCATCTTTCTGTATGTTTGATTACTCCTGTGTGTAGACTGACGGAGAAGTTATTGAGTCAGCGTCATTTACTGGAGGGGAATGCTTCTATTTTTAATTCTGCGTCTCTTTACAGGTGGATGAATGGCAAGCTAATAGTTGTGTTGAAATTTGAATGTCAGAAAATAAGGGAGAAACTTGAGACTTGCTCGTCATATTTAACCTGCTGTGTTACATGCTCTATCTTGAGTCTTTAAACATGCCTTTACATCACATCCTTGCATGTTGTATAAAATGAAGTGATCATGATTTCATCCTTTGTAGGAAGCAATATAAAAGACTCTGCCTTGTTAAATAGACTAAACATTAATTCATTTGACAATACCTTATTTTTCTGATTGGTCTTAATGTTGTGCTGGCTCTTGATTACCCATCTACTAAGAGATAATTCTTCAAGGAAGTAGCAGAAACAGCATGCTGGACTGATTGTCCTGTTAATGCTGTTAGTTGCAGTAAATAGAGTATCTATCGTAGGTTTATTTGCTATGAACATGGAAAATCTACTTAATAGGAAGGTCATCTATTTGTTAAAGGTCTTTGGTGGGACAAATGGCTGCTCAATAAGGACATAAATGAAGGTTCCCAAAGAACTTTCTGCCCTCGGGGTCTGAGTGCCACAGGGGTGGACTTGCTGCAGGTTGGGACATTAGGGCCGGTGACCTGAGCAGAGGCGGCTGCCTCTGCGCGTGTGTGCACGACTGAGTGTGGCCTTTGCCTGTGGCATGGGACACAAGTGGCCAAGATGCATCAGGGCATCAGCCAGGTGATGACTTCCAGCCTTGCTGGAGGATGGAGAGTCTGCTGAGACCTTTAGGTCACGGTGTCTCGCAGTTCAATTCATGTTGGCACCAAGAGAACAAAGTCTGGGGCCTTTCTCCGCTCCACAGTTGTGGTTATTGCAAGGATAGAGCATCACGCTGAGCTTGTAGGGCAAAGACACCTGACGCTTCATGGCCATGGAGGATGTCTCCTGGATTGCGGTCCCTGTGCTGTCACCTGCGGACCTGTTCACACGTGTTTTTGCATGTCAGCAAGAACAGAAAGTCCTTGCCAGGCCACGTGGGAACAAGCAACGTCTCCGTGGGGCCATGGATTACTCCTCTGTACACTGAGGACAGCGATGCTGAGTGCGACTTGGCCGTTACCTGTCTAATAGTTCTCCTTGCTCCCATTGTTACCTGCAGAAATGGTTATAAATGCCTTGTAAAAATAGTTAGATTTTTTAATTTATAATGACAATTTAGGCTTTATTTAGGAAATAGAAATACAGTCTTTCCTTGCATAAGTGCCTTTTTTGAATTAAATTTTTACTGATCTCTCTGGAACTGGCTTGTGGATACGTATGTAA